TATGGGCATCCCAAGTTAATTTATTATCAATTATCACTCCTAGATATCTCATAGAATCAGTGTTGGTTAAATTACTACATGTACATGGTGTAGAGTTTATAGTACGATTGCACGGATACGTGTGTAGAGTAATTTTAAAGTTGTTAGTTGGAAGAGTAGCATTGGTCTTAACGAAACATAGGTATTTGGTCTTAGAAACATTAAGTGATAGTAAATTGTCTTCAAGCCAACTAGTCACTAACCTCAGACCATTTTCTGTGCATTTTGCAACTTTATCCCAAGTGTCACCATGAAAAAATCAATGCAGTATCGTCAGCAAACATAGTTAAATCGGCATTTTTGATATTGGTTTTACACAATTAATTTACATAAATAATAAAGAGCGAAGGTCCTACGGTACTCCCCTGTGGTACACCGTAAGAGCAAGTGGAAGTGTTGCTTGCATACTTGTCAATCCTGACTCGTTGTCGCCTATCAGATAGATAGTCCCTAAACCAGTTGTAGACAAGACCTCTTATACCCATGTTTTCCAAACGGCTAAGCAATATAGGAATCGACACTGTATCAAAAGCTTTTTGTAGGTCCAAGAAAACACCTACACATTTTTTACCACCTCAAACCAGTTTAAATACACCTCAAGTTATTTTGTTGACTTAGGCACATTAACTCAACAAATGTACACGCAGGTGCTGGGATTCGGGCGCACTGAGAAGACAGTGCTGGGTGAGGAGCTGTGTGGAGCGCGCCTGCGTCTGACCGCGTGCATGCGCGAAAATTGGTACCACGTGGTGTGCGGTATCGGCAGCCCACACGGCGGCGTCTGCACCGGAGACTCCGGCGGTCCACTGCTCTTTGCCGGCACTCAGTTCGCCGTCACCTCTATGGGCCCTGTGGTCTGTGTGACTTCTGCAGTACCAGCGCTCGGCACCGTCAGTGTATTCACGACACTGCGGCCGTATATTGACATGCTAAACGCGACCATCACAGATGCTGATGTAGCGTTGCGCATGCGTATGATCTCCGCCGCGGCACCATCCTATCAAGTATCGGGTAAAATTATTAATTTACATGTTTTTAGTTTTTGTTTGCTTTTGCATGATGTTCTGACTCGGGGCCGGGTTTCATTAAGTTGTAGTTAATTATTTATCATTTATTAATAAATTTTGTTTCATATTCGAAAAATATTTGGCCTTTCTTCACTTTTTACGTCTAACTTTTTTCCTCATTGTTAAGAAGTTCTTTGTATATTTGTACAGAGAACAAGAACTTCTTAAGAATGATTTTGAATCTTTACGTAGCTCTGTAGCACAATACCAATGTTTTTTTAGAATAAGACTGATACTATGTGGATACTGTGGCCCGTAGTAGTTGTATATCTACATCTTTCTTTAATTAAGAATCAAAATGCACATGTTTGGTTACTCCTGAGGACTACGATAGGATGCTCATATTCAGAAAAAACAGGGTCTCTGTTAGAGAAACATTGATCACACGAAACACGGCAGCATCGAGCTTCTATTTTACGCTGGTATTCTGTAAGAGCGTAGTCCTTCCACGGTCAAGCCGACCCATTTGTGCCATGACCATAATATAGCTGCAACGTGGCTTTACCACGTAGCAATATAACTAATTCCTTAATTTTTTATTAATCATCATATGAATTAAGAATATAAATTTTACCTATTGAAGCCAAACATTTTGAAAAGAAAATACTTTCAAAGAATAAAATGTCAAAACCGTTACTATGATCCGGTTTTTCTTTTGACCTTGATTTCGGTGATGAGAACCTAAGTAGTATCTGGGCGGACTTTAATTATTAAGGAATTCTGCTTATGAAAAAATATTTAAAATCTTTAAATGAAAAATAATATGCACGTTTAAAATTAGTATGCTACGGCAAATGTAGTATAGGGATTTAACACGTGTTATTTATATTGTGGTCTTAACACAAATGAGGCCGTTACATATTTCTCTACACTCTACGTTATCTACGCTCTAAATACAAAACACAGCAGCATAAAGCTGTTGCTGCTCTGTGAGAGCGCAGTACTTTACCCTGCTTAAAGCTGGAATGTTATTACCGTTATCGTTACAGTCTATTAAAGTCCACTGCTGAACTATTTGCCATAGTTGCCACGCCTGGCTAGCGGATTGGCAACTGCAGTTTTTTATTTTTAGTCTTTATTAGGAAGACGCTTCTGTCCATTTTCAAATTTGTTTCACTAATTTTATTAGTGAAATAAAAATGAAATATCCTCATAACGCCCTATTATTATATTACTATTACTGTGATGCGTCTATTTATTTATTAATGATTTTAAAAATATGTTTTTTCGATTGGCCCTACATTTGAGTATCTAACTCTCGCGCAAATGACCCTCATCCCTCCATCGCGTGGCCACTTTTTCACTAAAGAGGCTATAAATCTTGACCAGCGCTAGTCTTCGGCGATGGAGAAGAATAAATTAGTTTTAATTTTCATATTTTTTAATTGGCTTAATACTTATCGATAATATTGTGTTATCAATATTAAACTACTTGTATAATACATGATCATTGCTTATATTTATCTCATTACTAGCGTTCCGCCCCGGCTCCGCGCGGGTGTCTGGAGTTCGACAACAGCGCCACCTATATGTCATGTGTAAAATTAATCAATCGTCATATTGATTTTTAAGCCATCCAGGAACCTACTCAAATACACACAAAAAATTCATCAAAATAGTTCGAGGCCTTTTCGAGTTTTACCGACGTTAAAGGACAGCAATTAATTATATATAAGAAGATCTTTTTACCCAGAAAAGAGAAAATAATACATATTTCCTGATACATATTATGTATAAGCGAAACACCACGATCTCTAAAACTATACCTAATATTGACTCATTGCGCAATGTAAACGCTCATTAAGAACGAATTTTACGATAGTTTCATCAAAAACAATCTTGATATTTTATATCTAGATTCCGCTATAAAATATTATCGTGTGCCCAGCAAAGCGGGAAGGTATTAGCTAGTAATGAATAATTGTGGATTTATTAATGCACGGGATTTGACTATGGAATAATGACAAGACCTTCGGGATAATTGAAATATTCCGAAACCAACAGCAGGTTGAGTTGTGGCAGCGTGAGAAAATTCGTTTCCCTATTTTCATTCCATAGTTGTCGTAGGAGACGACCATATGAGTCGCTGGAAAAATCTTTTATCATCCGATTGATAGTTTAAACACTCAGTCGTTCGTCGGGCAGGAACGTCGCAAGTGTGAGGCGTCTGCAATCGTCAGTTCACTTGGCAAGCGTCACGACTAAGGAAACTTTAAAGGTCGTTGCATACAGGACGGAATCATAACGTGCACGGGACGGGGACGGGACGTGGTTGTTTGTTAACATGGACGGGAGTTTAATGCATACGCACCGTGACATTGATTCGAAAGTAACGTGTTAGTGTTATGAAAGATTGATTTTACATTTGAAAAATTGGCATTGATTGCTATTTCTCTACAAAGTTTTTCTCAATTCTCAATCGGCATTTTTAGCATGAATTCCATAAACGCTCTACAAACATATTTTAACCAATACTCTGTCAAAAAGTTGAATATATCTTTTTTATAGAGATTTACTTGAATTCTATTGTATTTAATTCTAATGATGTAATAAATGTCGACATTGTAAAACATGAGTCTACTTTATTATGTACCTGTCTTTTGATTTGAGCATAAATAAGGTTAACTGTTATTGTTACCTATTAATCTATTCATCTATTCTAAAACTACGAAAACAATAAATGACAAATAAAATTTATACTAACCGTTTGCAGTAAGTCATAATTCGACTTAAATTTTCCTTCGCAGAGTTTTTTTATATTTTGTGTCCAAATAATTTGGGTGTGCAAGATTATACAAACATTCAATTAGTTTTTCGTCGTCTATGTTGTTTAGTACGGCACGCGTATCACTACGGAGCCAACGGAGCGACTGTGCACACGCAGCGGAACCACGGACGGGACGTGGTACGCACCGGGCGGGACGGGGTAAAGTTTTTCCCGTCCCGTTCATGCCACGTCCCCGTCCCGTCCGCGCATCCGTAACGTATGTATTATCACGTACACTTTCTATGAAACGATATTTCTAAAATTTCACGTCCCGTTCCGTCCGGAATAAAACACGTTACGTATGCAGCGACCTTTAATTTACTGATTAATAATAATAGTTCCATTACATTATAGTTCCATTTTAACGTTTTGTGCATTGCTTATCAGATTTATCTTTCCTTTTTTGTAGTATAATGGTGATAAGCGAGCACACAGTCCACCTGATGGTAAGAGGATGTTGTGGTCCATATACATCTACATCTACCTTCGATTAAGAATCAAAATGCAGATGCATTGTTACCCCTGAGTATTAAGATGAAATGCCTCGTTTCCAGTAAAACGGGTCTCCGGTTCTACACTAACCAAAACAAATACATCAGTGTCAAGCTGCTTTCACGCTATAATTCTGTGCGAGCGTAGTCCTTCCCTGGTCGAACCAAACCATTTATGTTACAACTAAAGGGTTCTTCAACTGGCGCGGGTAGATTTCAGCGGCCCGTGGCAGTCACTTTGTAGTGGTGAAATCTATCAAAACTTTCGTTTGTTATTCTATTCCTTATGTCAAGTCACTATGGCAAGTTACAAGATTGACCAGCACGTTCAAATGATAAAACTTTATTCTCAAAATGAGTGTTATTTAGTGCAAACGTTGCGTGCATTGCGTCCTTTTTACGGTATACGTGGTGGCCCTTCACAATCCGCTTTTTTTGACAAACGTTTCGTGGCTAAATTTGAAACAATCGGTTTGGTCAGCAATTAACCAACACCATACGTTCAAGGAATGAAAATCAGCCGAGAACATCATCGCGGTTCGTGAAAGTGTACAGCAGAAGCCGAGGCAGTCGATTCATCGCCGTCCACAAGAACTCGGCCTTTCGCAGACTTCAACTTGATGAATTTTGCTTCAAGGCTTAAGCCCACACCCGTACAAGATCCAATAACCCAAGAACTCAAAGTTATTGACCATAAACAACGCCGTTTTTTCGCTGACTGGGCTTTTAACCGTTTAGAAGAGGACCACAATTTTGGCCGAAAAATCGTCTTTAGCAACGGGGCGCATTTTTGGATGAACAGTTGTGGAATGGTGTTAACAAGTAGAATTGTCGTATATAGGACGACACCAACCCATGCGAGGTTCACCAGCAGGTGATAATGCATCCTCAAAAAGTAACCGTTTGCTGTGGATTTTGGCGTTATAATCCGTACTTTTTTGAAAACGACACTGGTGAGGCGGTCACCGTCAACGGCGGTCGCTACAGAACGATGATAACTTATTTCTTATAGCCTAAATTAAACTATATGGACTTAGACTACATGTGGTTCTAGCAGGAAGGTTCTACGTGCCACACAGCGGACGCCACTATTGACATTCTCCATGAGCGATTTAAGGGAAAAGGTTATCTCTCGCAGTGGGATGTGAATTGGCCACCAAGACCACGTGATTTGACCCCGCTAGACTTTTCTTGTGCGGTTTCTTGAAGTCTCAAGTCTATGCAAATAAACCAAAATCGACCGAAGATGAACCTAAAGATGAACATAACACCTCGCTCAAATTCAGCCGGATCTATGCAGAAGAGTCATTGAAAATTGGAACACTCGGATCCGTGCCACTGTAAAAAGCCAAGGCGGGCATTTCAATAATGTCACATTCCACACTTAATGCACAGCATTTCAAATAAAAACATAATTTTGTTTATACCTCACACACAGCTTGTTTTATTTCATTTCAACCTGTACGCGCCCTTATTGAAAAAACCCTTTATTACATAGCTACAGCGATGCTCTACCACGTATAAATATTGCAATTCAATGTAATTATTACAATTGCATGTTAACATTACATTTCGATAGTTGAAGATTTCATTCGTTCACTTGCATGTAGCATAGGCTAAGTAACTAAATTTGTCGTGGAATCAAAGAAAATTTAGTACCCAAAAATTAAAGTCCGAAAAGCACATATATTCACATTGAATCATTGTAAGATTACTAAAGTTTCTTTAAATCCGACCAAAATGTAATAAAAACGTAAAGATAATATATAAAAGTTCATGTAATTAGATTTAAATTTGACTTTTCCTCTGACTAGAATGTTTAAAAAAAATTAAACGTGAAATTATCATTTAAATTAAAAGTTTAATGCAAGCCACGTCTTCAGCGTTGGAAACCTCGAGAAACAATTAAGATTAGACAAAGATTTATGTAAGATAACACAGC